GAAATACGCGTATCTGTCAAGGATAAGCAAATAAAGTAGTGGAATTAAATGGAAAATACTAATCCTTTTCTCTCTCATTATACAGGTATTCCACAAAGACGCCCACATTCATCAGGAAACATTAAATTTATTGAAGTGCGCTTTTACTGATACTTCAGTTGTATATTGCTGAGCCAGTAGCAAAACTATTTTATTTCCTTGTACTTTCAATGTAATTATTAAAATAAATTTAGAAACATATGCTTTATTATTAATAGTTTATCCAGGGTGGCGATTGCTGTTCAAAGAATTAATTCAATATCGGACTCAATTGCCTAAAATTGTGATTCAGGATCCAGTTCTGGAAGACCCATTTCATCGATGAATTGGACACAACTTGGAAATGCTACACGCAAACCAAAAATCTATTACAACGAATGTTAGTTCCGTTTCCTATCATCCTCTGTTCATGAACATCGCAGCGAATGTTAGAAGTTGACCTTGCAGGCGATGTAATGGTTTTTTGTCTTTTTCATTTCGTGTTCTATCTACGCTTTCGACTATACCAGTAAGCTTGTAGAACGACGCACATGGTAGAACATTGTAGAACGACGCACACACTTGCCTCAAATCTCTCCAGCGGAAAAAGCATACGAAGTCGAATATGCGAGAAAATGAGCGCTTCATGTTTGCTTTTAGGCTATCCATATTCAGGAGCATGGAGAGAGCAGTGGAGAAAGCACAGGTCTGATAATCAAAGCGTTCTAGGTTCGAGTCCAGTCGGCAATCGGATTCCTATTTTTTCGACATAACTAATTTACCTCACTAATACCATAGAGGTAACTCTAAGACCACTGGGTCCCGAAGAAAATCATTATTATTTTTGGCTCACTCAGTACCAGAACAACGGCATAGAGGTAACTCTAAGACCACTGGGTCCCGAAGAAAATCATTATTATTTTTGGCTCACTCAGTACCAGAACAACGGTCCCAAGCAGTCCCAAGCTATTTCACTCACCCCTGCATGTTCTGCATGAATCCACACACCCCTGATGTTATCTGTCAAACTTTCATAGCGAATCAAAACAAACATAGTGTAGTAATAGAATTTCAACTAGAATGGGGTACGCCATAGAAGTACTTGGGACCAATAGGCTACTCAAGCAGTGAATCAATTTAAGATCGTTAGTTTCCACCCCCTGACAACGGTCCCAAGCAGTCCCAAGCTATTTCACTCACCCCTGCATGTTCTGCATGAATCCACACACCCCTGATGTTATCTGTCAAACTTTCATAGCGAATCAAAACAAACATAGTGTAGTAATAGAATTTCAACTAGAATAGGGTACGTTAATCGTTTGCTTGGGACCAATAGGCTACTAAAGTGGTGAGCCAATTTAAAATCGTTAGTTTCGTATTGATTGTTGCTAATACACTCTACATTTTTCGGTCTCCAGTTTTCTTACATTGTACCGCAGCTAGGTATATCGCATCCTCGGTTCATGAGGTCTCCACTAACATCCTCTGATCATGAATCCCACATAATTGTAAGCGAATCTTACATCCCCCGGTTGGGTGTACAAGTAATAATACGGTTCGCGGTAGTAGATTAATGCCAACTGTCTGTCGTCAATTTCTGGAAAATAAATTCCATTTTTCTCCGAAGATTATTAAAAAACACGTGAAATTCCTGGAAATGTAGCAACGAAAAAAACGTCAATGACAAAGCTGAAATTTGCTGTCCAATAGCATTTACGTTTATAGGCAGGTTTTGCGAAATCTGTCATTAAGTAGACAGTAGAAAATTATCAGCACATGCTATGAAATATTTCTGTTTTACTGGATTTCTGCAATGCTTAAAATGCTAATACTGATCTACAGCAAAGATTTAAAACTGTTTTGCTGGAACTCAAAATCGAAATTTGGTGTGTACTCTAAAAAACGCAACACTTTCTTTTGCGTACAAATTTCTATTGCATAGGTAAAAATTGATGAAATTTTGAGTAAAACTAGTTTAGAGTGTAATGTTTACATGGGCAATATCTCGTCACAATCTGTCAAGTGGTTATCGAGATGGCTTCCAAGCAAGAAGTGCTTCGACAAAGAATTATGGGAGCGATCGTGGAAAATCGTAGATCGCGAAACAGTTTGGAATCGACAATTCCACCGTGTGGTAAAATCGTTCAAGAAGACCCAAAAGACCCAGGGGTGAGCTGGCAGCGGAAGAAAAGCGAAGACGACTGACCCCATGAACGCAAGGAAGGATTATTGAGGGATTACTTCTTGCGCAATCCGAAGCTTTAGATTCGGGACGTGGCCAAGAAGGTCAATTCTTACGTTTGATTCGTCTAGCAGACAGTGAAGCGGGCCGGACTTCATGTCTTCAAGGTAAAGAATGCGCCTAACCGAATCAATAAACAGAATACGGTGGCCAAATCCCGCGCCAGGAAGCTGTACCGCAAGTGGTTGGTGCAGCCAAAATGCATCGTAATGGACGACGAGACGTACATTAAAGCGGACGCCAAGCAGATCCCTGGCCTGGAGTTTTTCGTCATCAAGTCCCGCCTGGATGTTCCGGAGAAGTTCCGAAAGAAGAAGGTCGACAAATTTGCCAAGAAATACTGAGTGTGGGGCCTCATAGCCTAGTCAACAAAGGCACGGTATTACCAAGCCGGAGGTGGCGGGTTCGATTCCCGGTCCGGTTGAGGGAATCTTTCGGGTTGGAAATTTTCTCGACTTCCCTGGGCATATAGTATCATTGTGCTTGCCACACAATATACAAATTCATGCATTGGTAATTGGCATCGAAAGCTCTCAATTGATAACTGTGGAAGTGCATTTAGAACACTAGGTTGAGAGCACACAATAAGCTAATATGCGCTAAGTAATAAGCTTAAAAATGCGAAAAAAGAAGAAGAAGTACTGAGTGTGGCAGGCGATCTATGGCTGCGGCAAATTCAGCAAGCCGTACATAATGACCGGCACCATCAACGGCCAAATATATAAAGAAGAATGCCTCCAGAAGCACCTGCTGTCCTTTCTCCGGTCCCACGAAGGTTGGGCGGATCTGGCATCGTGCCATTACGCGAAATCGGTGATGGAACGATGTTGTTTTTGTACAGAAGGAGGTAAATCCGCCAAACTCGCCAGAAGTTCGCCCAATGGAAAAATTCTGGGCGATTATGAAGAGTAAGCTCCGGAAAACAGGGAAGTTCTTAAAAACGACAAGGATTTGAAGAAAGAGTGGATGAAAGTGTGTAAGAAAGATGGTGCAAGTGTTGCATAGGATTTGATGGGTAGCGTTTAGTCCAAGGTGCGAGCATTTAGCCTAGGAGAGGTGGTTCAATAAACCAACTTTGCAAAAAACATAGCTAATATGTGTTTATTTATTCCCTGAGAGTTTCAAAAATATCCGATTGAAAATGAATTTTGGATGATCATTTTTTTCTGCTGCGTTTTTTTTTCGAGTACATGTTTATGTTTATGCAAAGCTTACCTACAATAAATGCAGGACATCTACATTAATTCCAGGAATTGTCGAAAAACTTTAGAAGTTTTGGTAATTTCAGGAAAGACCAGAGAACTTCTGAGAAATTTATAAAACTTTATAATATTTTGAGAACTTTAAAGAAGTCCTGAAATTTTCAGGAAACTTTACGAGGTTTGCTTGAACATCCGGGTAGCTTCGAGGAAATCAGAGAAGATCAGAGTACATTAGTGCAGTTCATTTAATTTAACTAGAAACTCAGGGAACTTCTGAAAACTTCAGCCGAGTTTTGAGACCGTCAGGGAAGTTCAGAGAATTTCAGAGAACTTTTGAGATTTTTAGGCACTTTCATAATTTTCAGGGATGTTCCGAGTACTTGAAGCAGGCTGGTCACCTTCACAGCAATTCCATTTATTAATTTCAGGAACTTTTAAAAAGTTAGGAAAATTTCAGGAATGATGCAGGGTCTTGAGGGTAGTTCAATAAATATCCGAAAAACTGTTTTAACGTTAGAGAAGTTTCGAAAACCACTCGAAAAAGTCTTGGTAGGAGCTTAAAGAAAATTCCCAAAACTTCAGTCAAGTTCAGAGAAGTTCTTGGAAGTTTAGACATTTTAAGCAAGGAAGTTTCGAAAACTTAAGCGAAATTACTGGGGCCTCCCTTTGCTCAGTCAGTAAAGGTGCAGCTATAAGCCTAGACCATGCTGGAGGAGGCTGGGATCGAATACCGGTCCGGTATAGCAATTTTTTGGGACGATACATTTCTCGACTCCCCTGGGCATAGAGTATGATTGTACTTGCCACCCAATAATACTAGTGCAAAAATGGTACAGGCTAACAACTGCGGAAGTGCTCAATGAACACTTAGTTGGGAGCCGGTGTAAAGTCCTAGTGAGGGCGCCAAAAAAGACGAAAAAGGAAAATAGCCGGAACTTCTGAATGGATCAAAGAGCTTCAATTAACTTTAAGAATATTGCGAGAACTTTAAAAAAGATTTGGGAAATTCTAGGAAACCTTGAGAACTTCATTGAAGTTCAGAGATCTATAGGGCAGTACTAATAACAACTCTAGAGATTTGAAAAGTCTAAACTTTAAAGTTCTTGAAGAATTAGTCATTAATTTGCTATCGATATTTTTCTTACAAGTGCTGAAATAGCTGAAATTGATTATGGATTATTAGCAAAACCGTGAGTAAGCAAAGCCAAAGTGCTTACGTCCATGCAGTATTGTCAACCATTCTAGTTAACTGTCATCGTTAGTAATTCTTATATTTTTGTTTTAAATTTCATAAGCAGATACTTAGCCCTTTTTTTCGCATTTACAGGAATCCCCCGAAACGGATTTTCTGTAGGTGACTAGAATAGGGTTGACACTAATCACGTACAATTAGTTGAAGGATTACCGAGAATTACCGGTGGGTAGACTGCATCATCCACCGCGTAATGCGGGGGATTCCTGTATATGAGTTTCCACGGAAATTTCGATTTTTGCCTCGGAAAGGGTTAAGCCACAGGAACATAATAAAAACAAAAATCTTCTACCGATGAGTTCAAAATCAAAAATTTATTGAATAATTTGCCATTTAGTTTACATACATAGCACACAACCTAAATCTATTATTTCTGATATCGAACCTGTGCGTATTACCTTCTGGGCTTTCCACTCGGTGGTAGCCTCCCAGCTACGTGCGATGAACCACAATCATCGTCACACCGGCTTGTGTTATCTGTTATTGAATAATTCCACAGCTTTCAGTTTGAACATTAACGATATTCCTCGGATAAACACTGGATCACATTTTTCCATTTTATTATCTTCAGTTGCAGTCGCTAGTATATACAGTATCATCTAAACAGTAACAATCTTACAAGCACTATGCATATTGACAAGTAGCAATAACCCAGAGGCGGGCATTCTCTGCTTAACGCTAAGTATACTCTGTTTTGGTGGCTGCAAGTTCCACTTTCTATCAATTACTATCATACAACGCGCGGTGTACTCGGCTAACTTATGAACGAAAATCTTCCCGGCTCTCTCTCTCCGAGCGGGTTGTGTAGGAGGAACATAACTGTTTTCATTTTCGCCGTATCGGACCAGCAATCCCCGGGGTTGGGTGGTCGATTTTTATTTCCGCCCAGGCTGCACGAACGTGTCGAGATTGTTAAGGAAAAAGGTCTGGAAGTCTGCAAGGAGATTGAGATATAGAGAGGAAGATGCGGTTTAGGATCTCTCTGATTGGCTTGTTATATGGCATGATGCTGTGCTCGGCACGTGAAGCTGGCAGCTAATCTTCATATTCCATGCGAGCGCGTAGTAGTTAAGGATGTGAATGTGGTGGACACACATACAACAGATGCGAGCCTGCCATCACCAGGGGCGATGAGTAATTGATGAAGAAGATGCGTGCTTGTTTCACCCCCTTTTTTCGCTGGGGTGAAACTGAGGCACGGTTGTTAGCACTATAACTACGCACACGAGCTCTAGCTCTACTGGATGTCGATGGTTCTTGTTCTTTTTCTCTGCCACTTAGCCGTAAGGATTAGCGATGAAACGTGATGCGATCAGAAAAAAATACCCGCACAGAAAGTTACACCACGCAAAATGGCACCGCAAACACTACAACAACTACCAGCAGCAGTGGTCAACAGAGTTCAATGATTAATGAACTAAACTAGGCGAACGGGGATGGAACGTGAATGAGTGAATGGGTTTTCGATAGTGAATGGGTATATAGTAAATGGTACAAGTTTAGAAAGCATTCATTCAGCAACAAGTTAAATTATGACTGCTAAATAAAAGCACATTTTTTTTATAGATATTGAAATGCAGGCATTAATCTAATAATAGTATTCAGCGATTCGGGCCTCATTTAGCTCTGTCAGTAAGGGCCCAGTTATAAAGCATGACCTGCTGGATAAGGCTGGCTTCGATTCCCGGTCCGTTTTAAACATTTTTAGGTTTGAAAAATTTCTCGACTTCTTTGGGCTTGACTATGATTGTGCTTACCACACAATTATATTGTAAAATGGGGTGTCTTTGATCAGTTGGACTATTTTTTGTTTCACGCCACTTATTTTTAACTATGCCCTATGAGATTGAGCAAAATTTTTTTGTATAACCCAGCCTAGCATACCTACTCGAGAAGATGGGAAACTTCGAAATTGTTTCAGTCTGTAACTTTACTTTCATTGATATAAGTTTTGGGGCGTAGGGGATAGGGTAACCCCTCTCCTGTCATCTAACTATGCCTATGAGATTGAGCAAATATTTTTGAATTACACATCTGAACATACCAGCTTGACAAGATGAGAATCACCGCAGTTATTTCAGTTTGATGCTTTACTTCCATTTATATGAGTGAGGGGGGGGGGGGGGGAGGTACGCTTTTGAGATTGAGCTATATATTTCTGTTTGGAATCTGACTAAAACAGGAATCCCCGATACGCGATGGGTGGTGCCCGTCTACCCACAGCCATTTATCAGCAATCTTTCATCAAAATTGAAAAAAAATATTTATTTCATCAGATACGTAGAGTCATTTCCGATCGATTGGCGTATCTGGATTTTAATTTCAACTATAAATGGCAAAGTTACCAGCGTTCAAAACCTAACACTATTTCACAATACATTTTTTTTTATTTGCCCCAGTATAGTCCACAAGGACATAGTTCTACATCAAAATTTACTTATTTTTCCCAGAAAGACATTTTTCGTTACAACTTTGTCTCAGACGTTATTTCGATCAGAAATGCCGTTTCTGTGCTATATATTATTTTTAAATTTCAAAGGTGCCATTTTGAAAAAATTAAAGGATCCAAAATGATCTACTTTAAGCAACAATGTGAATCATTGACCATAAAAAAAAACAATTACGCAAAATTTCATACAGATCGTAGAAGGTCTATACAAAAATTCATTTTTTTTTGCTTTTTTTTGCCTGCTATAATGCAAACAAAAGAAAGTTCTCAATTAACAACTGTGGAAGTGAGAGTCGGCTTAAAGTATCAGTTTCAAAGGTTTTTCAAAGTTTATAAAACTACGATCTGAAAGGAAACTAATTAAGGACATTGATGACGGAATCTATTTTCCTTCCATACAATTTGTTTTACCACTTCATATTTTCAGGGGCACACATCTGGCGACCCAAGTAACACTTGCAACATCGTTTATGAAAAATGTAACAAATCCCAGTTGTAAATAAGTTACATATTGATTGCTTAGAAAACATCTTGTTTTAAACCCGGTGTATTGTTGTTTGTGAAGTATTCAACCTTTCTGACAGGCACTTGTTATCTTGAAGTTATAATTCGGTATTGCATGACATAATTACCTGTTTACAACACATTTATAACTGATATTATTTGGTGAAAACTTGCTAGCCTTGTATACAACATGTTTTCATATGTAAGTTTTATAACCATGAGCAAACATAAATACATCTTGAATGTAACTTATTTATAACATGTTATAATAGCTATATTTCAGTTCTATTCATGTTTCCAAATGTAACATATGAAAACATGTTGTATATAAGGCTAGGAAGTTTTCATCAAAACAATCAGTTATAAATGCGTTATAAACAAGTAATTGAGAAATGCAAAACCGAATTATAACTTCAATATATGATACAAGTAATGTTCTTGTTTTTCGTGTTGTAAACATGTTTTGATAACAATTATTTAATTTCTAGATGTTCTCTACAAATTGCACTGCAATATGGCTGACCGATGAAGCAAAATATAGAATAAAATAAAAACTTTCAGTGGTGCTTTCAACATCCCATTGATGTTATGAAGAAGAGAAAAGTATGATAATCAAAAAAAAAAAGGTTGAAATTCTGTTTGTTTTGCTAAAAATTTGATGTTTTCGAAATTGAGGAATTTTAAACAGAATTTTTTGCACAATTCAAGCTTTTTCTAAGAGCTAATCAATTTTTATGAAATAGAATGTAAAGATTCGCTATAAATTTTCAACCGCACAAAAGTTTTGAGTACAGAATCTCAGTTTATACACTTTATTCGCACAATAAAATTAACCCCTCTCTCCCCGAAAATGATGATGGGAAAATGAACAAATGCCATTCGTTGGAAGGATTAAATTCATTTAGAACATCTTCAAAACAGTAGTTGCGTTATAGTCATACATAAGTTTCACAAGTCAATCATATATAACTTGAAGGATGGGTCATTATGATCATTTTTTCAGAACAATGTTTTTTTGGTTCCATTTGGAGTCCCAAACAACTATGCAAAACTTGGAGACGATTGGTTGTAACCCAGCTTTCCGCATTGCGTTTGAAATTTGTATGGAAATTAGTATGGGAAAACCTACTTTTTTGAATTTTTATTACTAGGGACCACAAACCACGCATCTAAATACGTTAAAGTATAGCCCAGGAAGTGCCTAACAACTTTGCTCAAGGTTTAATTGTGCTAGAATGTCCCTTAAAAACGTTATAGCTGTTCAAAGATCAATCTTTCGAATTTAATGCCAAAAATCCCTTTTTCTGCCAACACTGCCGGTGAACCAATGAAAGTCAGACTCCAAACTGAAATAGTTTCGAAGCTAATTATTTTATCGGTTTGGTATGTTCAGATGAAATATTCAAAAACAATAGATTTATCTCATATGCGTAGTCGGAGGGAGGATGGGGGGGATAAGTAATGTTTCAAACTGAAATAACTTCGGCGTTTCTTATCTTATCGATTTGGTATGTTCAAAAACAATTTTTCAATCTCATAGGCATATTAACTATACCTCCGCCCCCATCACTCATATAAATGGAAGTAAAGCTTCAAACTGTAATAACTTCGGTGATTCTGCTCTTGTCAAGTTGGAATGTTCAGATGTATTCAAAAACATGTATGCTTTCCGGCCCTCACTTATATCAATGAAAGTAAAGATTAAGGCTAAAATAACTTCGGAGTTTCTCATCTCTCGAGTTGTTCACATGGATTATTCAAAAACATCTGCTCAATCTCATAAGAGCAGTTGTATTTAAAGCGAATACTCCCATTCTCTTCCCTACTCTTTTGGTGAAATATACAATGTCAGATATGTTCACACAAATTTCGTTGGATTGCAATGATTATATCTCATTTTAATATATTCTAGGCTTTCTCAGGGTACTCCTTTCGATGCTGTTCTATCCCTTGAAGCAAATATTGCTATTGAACTAGGTCTCGGGTGGATTTCTTGATAAGTCAGAAATTAGCTTCACCCCTCATTCAGCCATATCGTTGACAACCGTCAAGAAAGCAACTCGTTGTATCGCATTGAAATAATCTGTATCATTTCTCTACTCGTTTGCCGGTTTTTGCATGAAGCCGGTCGAAATTATGAAAAGGAATCAGCACTGCTAGAAGTGACGTTTGGCTTGGGAACCCAACTAAAACTTAGCCCACTTAAAGTTAGCCCAACAATCCGGCTGTACCTGTGTCTGAGACGAAACTGGTGAATACAGTTTTCGTTTTCTTTTGTTTTTGGTTCTTGACGTACGACTTCTTCTGTGTTTTCTATATGCGGGCAGTTCTATCCGAATGGCATATGCGGGCAGTAGATGCTATCTGAATGGCAGTTTAATATTTCAAATAAAAGCTTTGAAGAGAAATTTGAAATTTTTCAGCTTCTAATAATTCAAACAACATCTCCTCACTAACAAATGAACGGACAAAGTGGATATTAAATATTTACACTACAACAATGTTCGTTTGAAAATCTGCATATAGTAGGTCCTCCCCCCCCCCTGCTCTCTAACAACGCTTATGAGATTGAGCAAATGTTTTTGAAAAATTCATCCTGAACATACCAATTCGATAAGATAAGAAACTTCGAAGTTATTTCATTTTGAAACTATTGATATGAGTAAGGGGGACGGGGTATATTATTAACCCCCCCTCTTCAACTACACATATGAGATAGAGCAATTGTTTTTGAATAATTCATCTGAACATACCAAATCGGTAATATCAGGCATAACATTTGATAACGGCACAAAAGCATTTGTAAACAAACCTTCTGAGGCCCTTTACACGCGAACCAAAGTACGCCCACGCAAATCAATACCACTTTCGAAAAGGTGATACTTGCCCCTATCCGATGATGCTGTTGGTTTGCGTGAGCGTACTTCGGTTCGCGTTTAAAGGGCCTCAAAAAGTTTGTTTACAAAAGCTTTTGTGCCGTT